CAGGAAGTCCTATGCTGCTGATTTATACCAGCACAATGCTGGCACTGCCTACAGTGGAGCAAAAGACTCGAGCAACAGAAGAATCTGTTTTAAAGGAATCCTCCTGTAAGATGAGATGGAGTTTTGTGGAGGAAAAAAGAGCTGGCCCCTTATTTTAAAAGAAATAGTAGTATTGCAAGCCTCTATCTCAGCAGATGAAAGAAGAGTTACAGTTCATAAAAAGGTATGGTAGAAATTCAAAGCAATCACTTGGACATGATATTTAAAATTTTTTAAGTGGTAAGAACAGATGGAAAAACCATCATCAAATGATTGCGTTGTCACTGGATATCACCAAGTCAGTAGGTCAGAATCGTATGTGTGGTGGCTGGCCTTGGCCCCATGTCTTATGCAATCCTCTCTCCTGAGCAGACCTGGTTTGAGGGACCCAATTCTAAGAGATGTCACCCCTGAGGCAGGTGACACAGGCCAGCTGCTCTCCTGAGATGTTACCTCGGTCTCCCTTGGTCGCCTGCTCTGTGGGAAGCCAGGTGCCCCTCAAGCTGCCCTGGGCAGGCGGATGTGTGTCAAGGAGCACATAGGTCCCATCATGGAAATCAAGGAGATCTGACTTATGCAGAGCTTGCTGTAGGGGGGCGGGTGGCCTTGCATGTGCACTGGACAAGGCACTGGCCGGCAGAGGAGTGGGAACTTCTGCATAGGGAAAGAGAGGCTTCGGGTGTGCCTTAAGCCCTGTGTGGGTGGGGCCTATGGTGTGTGGAGCTTTCCCTCATTCATCCTGAGTTAGAAGTAGGGATACAATTAAGGAAGTCATTAGATCCATGTCATTTGGGGTTGGTCACTACTGTGGCTTCAGTGTGGTTTCCTGCATTGCTAATGGAGACAGCAGCCCGACTTCCCACAAGTCTGAGGCACACAGGCAGCTTCCTGACCTGGCTATCGCAGGTCCTGGGTTGGCTTCCCAGACAGGTGGCAGCAGCCTGTGTTTGAGTTTTACCTTCATATTGGTCTGCCCATTGTCACTGGTGTTCAGTATCTTAGTCCCCCTGTTGGTCATTCCCTACTGCTGGGAAGTTGACCAACTCAGGGAAAAGCAGAGCTCCAAGTCTGCATTGTGTGGGCACTATCCAGTCCTCTCCATTGTCAACCACACTGCAATCTTCCTGATGTTTGATTGTTGTGTCTTCATGGGGATCATCTGATGAGAGAAGGCCTTCATGAAACCTCTGAAGTTTCAGATGGAACCAGTCACCATAGCTGCGGTGACAACATTACAAATCATTACTATTCTCTGTGATGTCCTTCAAAACCAGAAGTTTGAATTGGCCAGCTCTGGCCAAGAGAACAAACCCCACAGGGCATGAGGCTCAACCCTACTGAGCCTGGTCCACTTTGCTTATTTACTGACCTGGGAACAAGGGTTAGCAATGGTATAGGTTCCACCATGACTCTCTGGCACAAATCCAGGGTGAGCTAGAGCCATGGGGATTATCTGTATGCTCATGGCAATGTATCTTGACTCTGTACTTCTCCATAGAAGAGGTAGTGTCCTAAGGACTGCTGCCAGAGCTAGTGAAGATTTCCAGTTTCTGGGTGTACATCTCTCATGAATGTGGACACAATGAGTCAGTGATTCCTCCAGGTAGGATGCCTAAAATAATCAAGAGTGAGCTCATTTTGAAGCTCACTTCTGAGTCCAAATTTCCAACCTGAGTGATTTACAGAATTATGTCTCTGTGTTAAGACATGTGCTAGAATTCCAGAACCAGTGTGCAAGGGTTATTTGTCTTTGGCAAAAAACACCAAGCATCCTGGCCACAAAGATGTGAGGGCGTGGCTTACATAAAAGGATTGTGTACATCCTAAGGTTAAAATCAACTGAGTTAACTCAGTAACTCATTAACTGGGTTACAATTTGTGAGTTTTTCTTTTTTATTTTCTGCTTCTGAGAGTCAAACCCATGGTCTCCTGCATGCCAGGCATGTGCTCTGTGGCTGAACCCCTAGCCTGTTGGTGACGCATTGGGTCTCATTAGTCTCTGCCAGGTAGTATTTGGCTTAGTGCTCCACAGAGATTGTTGAATTTGAGTTTAGAATGAACTATGGTCTGAGTAATAGAGAGCAGTGATTGGGTCTTTTTCTGGGAGAAAGGGGCAACAGCAAAGCTGCAAGTTGATTTGTTTAGGGTCAGCCGTCCATGTAGGTGCACACAGAAAGGCCATTGGCCTCCGATCTGATTTGATGAAACTGGAATCAGGTTGAAGGCAGGGGCTGCTCCTGGGGATGGTGTAGGAAGGGCACAGTGAGCACACTGTGAGCTGGCACATCATGAGAAGGGCGGGAAAGAGGGAAAGGGGTGACAGTGGGGAGTCTCAAGAGAAGAAGGAGGCTTACAGACCAGCCATCAAACACAGCAAGAGTAGGAAGGGGTCTTGCTGCCAGGTCCACTGCCCACCATCCTTGGCCTGCAGTGGGGGTCTTGATTGGTTGCCTGCCTCAGAAGAGAAGTTGCTCTGGAGACCTCAGGCAACCCAAGGTCAGGGCATCCTACAGAAACCCCCAACTTCCTGAGATTCTGAATTTCCTCCTTGGATGAAAATGGAAGCCCAAGAACTGACCCCGGCCTGATGACCAGCTGAGAGGTATCTTCTAACAGAGGATGGTGGGACCATGAAGTCAGACAAGGATGGGGAGTTTCCTTATCATGCTCCCCAGGGCTGTCTACAAGACGAGAGCCTTGCGATGTTTTGCTCCTGCACAAAGAGAGGGCACGTGTTGGGGGTGGTATCTCTAAGAAGCAAGGGCTTTCTGGTCATTAATTCTGGGGAGATAACCAGTGAGTCCCCATGGAGTGCAGTGAGGTCTTAGCTGCTGAACAGTATCTGCAGTGAGGAGCTTGTAGGGTTTCTGGATAACTTTAGCTCAAGAACACTCTCGTCCTTTCAGCCTCTCTGGGAGGTTTGTGGGTGATAAGCACAGTGTGGGATAACTCCTCGCAATTTTAAAAATAATCATTTCTATAATACGTGTGCCTCCATATCTTGATAGAAAGGCTGGGGTGCTGGAACTGGAAACAAAATTAAATAGCTTGTTAGTGACTAAAAGGGCTGTAACATTTCAGCAGGGAAATGTTTTAATCCACCCTGAAAATAAACATTCAATAACTAAAACACATTTGAATCCCACAGAGAGTGGACATTGGATAAAATCCACCTGAAGGTGTTCAAAGGACTGGAAGGTTAGGGTCCCGGCTGTACCCCACCTTTATGGCTTTTGCAGTAGCATGTTGTTGACAGAGAACGCATGGCCTCAGAGTGACCTCGGCTCTCTTTTTAAAGTTTACGCACGCTGTTGACTTAAGACATCACTAGCCAATGTGCCCCTTCCAGGAGGAGCAGCTCATGGAGAAACCTAGTTATCTTCACAGAGAACCATCTAGGCCACTAAGCAGCTGTCTCGAGCATGCACAAGGTTAAGTCTTGTTTGCAGCCAGATTTTGTCCATTTTTCCTTTCCAAAACCAGGGTCTGAACACTGACATCTACAGTCACCCTTTGGAAGCCTTCCTGAGGCTCAGCTTTTGGGCAGGGTGGAGGTGCACTGCCGTTGGGCCTGGCAAAGGTGAAGCCAGCAGCTCTGGGCGGAAGTGGGGCTGCAGAACCTGGGCAGGACCCCGGCAGCAAGGGCTCGCCACTGTGCAGGTGGTGGAGCTTTGTGAGGGCAGCGTCTGCGGCTGCCAGGAGCTGATGGGGCAAGAGTCCCGTGTGACGCAGAGTGACCACCTCAGGAGGGCATTGTGCTGCCTCAGGCAGGATCCTGGCACTTCTGCCATCCTCTAAAGACCCCAGTCATGGGAACTGTGGCCCAGTTAATGTTTTTATGCTTCTGGGGATTGACCTCAGAGCTTTTGCCCTGAGATTCATCTCCAGTCCTTTTTAAAATTTGTATTTTGAAACAATGTCTTTCTAAGTAGGTAAGTTGCTGAGGATGGATTTGAGCTTTCGCTCTTCCTGCCTCAGCCTCTCAGAGTGCTAGGATTATAGGTGTGGGCCAGCAGGCCTAGCTCAAGAAACTCTTATGGGGAATGTTTCAGGTTTGGCTTTTAGGAGACTGTGAGTGCTTTTCCAGCCTGCTTTACCTGTCAGCATTGTTACGGGGTGGATCCTTCTTCCTGGTGGGCTAAATCATCTTTTATCCTGCAGGATTTAGCATCTGGACTTCTGACTCATGTGCGACAAATAGATACATTTATCAGGCAGCCCAGGGCTGTGTGCTCCCAAATAAATTCTAAACTCTTTCCTGAGTATTTGTTGATCTCATTTTAGGAAATATTTAATTATAGACCTTGATTTAGGCTGGATCCAAGGTTTAACCCCCTGTTATCTGCATCCCTGGCTCATAAGATAGAGATCCACAGAAGTAACTGGCCATTTAGGGTTTTGGGGAAAGGTCTGGACAGGAGGTGAAAAGGTAGGGGGTCATCCCAGGAGAGGAGAGGGCTGGAGGTGGAGAGGCAGCGGGAGGGTGGGGAAGGAGGGAGTCCTCTGGAGTCAGTTTAGTTTGCTTTCGCTTGTTCAACTTGCTCATTCCTTTTGGCCAGAGAATGTTTCAGTGAAGCAGTTTTGGATTTGGAATTGCCCTTGAGGCTTTTCATACCAATACAGAAGCACTACTCACTGGTTAGCCTGTAACATCCCATTCTTTTTCTTTTCTGGGATGCTTCTCAAATGTGGTATTTCATTGAAATCAAATGCCCCCAAGGGGCCACTGCAGGCCTAGACATCTCTGCAGAAGCCACACCATTTAGAAAGGTGGGTGTACGGGGCTGCGGTGGGCACACGTGCAGAAGAGGGTACGGAGCCCCAGGACCCCATGCTGAGAGGACACAACGCCGATGAAGACCTGGACTCTGCTCCATCCTGAAAGCCAGGCCTTACAGCTTTATCTCTGCGGGCAGGCAGGAGTCAGAGCACTGTGCCTTTGACCATGCACAGTGCTGACACAGGCCCTGTGCCTCTGATCAGAGCCTCACTTGGGCACAAAGTGAAATCCCCAAGGCTCCTGTGGAGAAGGCTCGGTTCCCAGGACAGAGGTGTTCCCAGACAGGGCTCTGGAAGCATGCTCTCGTGCAGTAGGATTCCATTTGGATGAATCTGCTGACGGATGCTTTGTTACTGTTTCATCTCTGAGGCAGAGTACTCAACACCCACAACCTGAAGAGGGAGAGGTTTATTTGGGCTCAGAGAAGAGTCTGCTGAGGAAACCTGCTCACATCATGGCAATCAGGAAGCAGAGAGGAGGGAGGAGCCAGCGGGAAATCGCCCTTCCACTCAAGGTGACTCACCTCTTTGATCAGGCTCCATCTCCTAATGGCAAGTCAGCTGTTTCACTCCACAATCCATCCATCTCCCAAGACCCCTACCTGTGAGCACACAGGCTTTGGGGACATCTAGGTATAAGCATAACCACGGATTCCTAGTTTCGTGGCATTATTGGGTGGTGATGGAATGCAGACGTGAGACCTTGGGGAAGAGAGACCTTGGGAACTACTGCATCCCTGGACCCTTCTTCTCTCGCTCTGACTCTGCTTCCTATGCCAAATGCCACCCCTTTCACCTTAATGGTTTGCCTTACTGCAAGCCTAAAAGCTGGCCTGTCATACACAGACAAAAATCTCTGTAACTGAGACCCAAAATAAATCTTTCCTCCTTTAAGAGAACCTCTCGGCCCAGAGCAAGGCTGCTCAAGTGAATTCCGGTCTAGTGAGAGTGTCCAGCTCCCCAGTCCGTGAGTCTGGCTCGAACCAGAGTTCTGCCCTGGAGTCTTTTCCCACAACCCCTTTAGACATCATAATGCAAAACAGCAACAGGAGAACAGCAAGAAGGCTTTGGAAAGGAAATGATCCCAACAAGGAGGACACATAATGGGACTAGCAATGAAACCTGGTATCAAACTAGGAATAAATACCCAGTTCAATGAGAAGTAAGCAGAGTTCAGTCCCAGTGTATACCTGGCACAGGGCCTCTGTCAGCACTATGCACCGTCAAAGGCACAGATCGACCATGACAGTGGGGAAGACCAGGTCTCAGCTGGCCGCCTCCATGATTAACTGGAGAAACACAGTGCCCTTGGCCACGGTTTTGTACCCATGGTTTCAGTGATGGTAAACTGCAGTTTCTGAGTACTAAATGGGAAACTCTAGAAATGAACAATTCATGAATTTTAAATAACTTGTGTATTGTTCAAATGGTTGCATTATTGTTGCTAATCTCTTATGTGTCTCACATAGGGTTTCAGGAGTCCACAAATGTCTTCTTGATATCCATTGGAAGAAGCTAAATGAAGACAACCCAGGTGAGAAGTAAAAGCTGTTTGTTTAGAACCCTCTCTTGTGGAGAAATCACTGCTCTTTTCCCACCTGTAGTAAAGAGGGAAGGTTCAGATGTGTCCAATGCCTACTTTGGCACGGGAAGGGCAGGCTAACTAGACACAGGGTTCAGGATGAATATTTGCAATATTGTATGATTGGTCCTAAATTGAGAATGAGGACAAAGTTACCAAAAATGTCAGTTATTCATCAAGTCCTGGTCATTTATGCTAATTCTTAGATCTTAATTAGAAACAGAAGTTTCTGACTTTAGCAGCCTGGCTTGGCTGGATGTTGTGGATAGGGCTGGTTTCCTGGACATATTAATGCAGGCCTGGGCTCAGAGTTCCCCTCTGGCATGTGGTAGGGCCATTTTTCCAGGGATAAGTGGAAAAACATAAATATATTCAGTTTTATTGACTACAAAGTAATATGTTGGAAAGTGTTCCTCATTTGTCACATGATGGATAACTTTATTTTCTTTCTCATGATTTTTTGTTTTTTAATTTTCCCATGTGCAACATAGTATTTCGGATCAGAAAATTCTGGAGCAGTCATTCTCACTTCCTTTTCACGCCCTTCTCTCTCCCTTCCTAGTTTCCCTCCTGGGGGTATGGATCCTGAGCTGGTGCTTAGCTCCTCTTCTTAGCCTGTGTATTAGTTGATTTCCTATCACTGGTAGAAAATACCCAATACTTCCAAATTAAAGGAGGACATGTGGCTCATGGCTTTGGAGAGTTTAGTCCATGCAGGACAGAATCAGCATGGTAGATGGGAGAGCCACTGTGGCAGCCAGGAAACAGAGAGTGGAGGAGCCAGGAAAGAGACTGTGCCTTCCGTGTCAGGCCCCAGTGACCCCTCTTGTGACCTAGTGCCATCTCCTAACAGCTCCTGAGCTATGAGAGCATCAGTGGAAGAATCCACTGAGGAGTACAGCACCCCATAGGAGGATATGGGGGACACTACATTTATACTTAGTACCTTCTGTTCTGATGCCTGCTGTTTCTCATCTGCAGACTTTGAAAGCTGTAGTTCTGGTTCCTCTTTCTGTCCTCTCTTTGCCCCTGAGAGGTCACTTTGACTTCATCTTCCTGGATCCCAAAAGTCACTGCTCTCAATGCTATTCTAGTTCTTGCATGGCAGTGCTGTGTGAGGAAGTCTGAGTCCTCCAGGCTGGTCGGACTTGAGAGTGTCCTGTGCTGTCACCACTTCCCTGATGCAGAAGTAATGCTCTCTGTGGACAGCTTTGTCCCTGTGTAAATGTGCAATTGTTAGGCTAAAACATGGATGCTCTCCAATGAACTAATAGATTTGAGTCAGATACAAGTAAAAAATAATGATTGTCTAACACAATTACATGATTATCACACTTATCTAAATATAAAGCTATCAGAAACTAATCTGAAATAAGTGATTCAGATAGGTCTTGGCCCAAAAGTATGAAAATGTCACACATGGGTGCAATCATTGGGATGCAGCTATGCTGGCAGATTCCCAGCAGACCAGTGAAGAAAAGAGTGTGTGAAGCCATTGTCATGGGCCCCTCCCCATCCCAGGCTTCCTTGCCACCAGCAGATCAGTGAGGACCAGAGCTGACTCACCACCACCCTCTCCAGCTTCCTGGCTAAGCCTGTTCCTCATGTACACTGAAGAGGCACAGGGAGTCTTAAAGGGCATTGCTCTGAGCTAGAGCAGAAGTGAATAATATTAAGAGGGCCTTACTCCTTCTAAGTCTCCATCCAAAAGGGTAAAGTTACTATATTGATCAATTTATTCATTATAAACATATTTTGGGCTGTATTCAATTTATTTCACCAGGTTAAAGACAATAGATTAATGACTACCACAAATTGTTGTTTTCTAAGATGGCTTGATTGTATTGTTGTTGCTGATTTTATTACTTGGGCTAGTGTTGTGATTGATCTAATCAGTTAACCTTCCTGGTATAATGAAAATGAGATTGCCCCAGAGTCATTAGAGACTCAAATCCTAATGACCAGCCAAATCTGGAAGACACCTCTGAGAAGTAAACATTCCTTAAGGGTTCTAAATTCAAGCAACAAAGATACTTACAATAAGTAATATGGATGCATCAACCCAGACATTAGCCTAAGGACTATACCAACAACAATAATAGAGACAAAAACATTTAAACAAGACACATCTTCCATATTACAAAAGGCAAATTCTGGAGGAAACAAGATGGAAAAGTCTGATAATCAACTACCCAGACAATCTGAACAGATAGCACAGGAAGTAAAAAAAAAAAAAAAAAAAAAAAAGAGTGAGGCTTTCGAAATATTCAAAACAGAAGTAATTTCCCAGATAACTACAGAGATGATGAGCAGAATAAAAGCCATGATTACAGACTCTAGAACAGAAACAGATTTTTAAAAATGAGTTTAGGACCATGATGGAAGCCATGAATGCTCAGCATAGGAAAGAAGTGGAAACCATGAATACAACATAAGAAAGAAATGGAAACCATGAAACAGATTCAAACTGATATTCAGGAGGTTAAAAACGCTATTGAAAGTATACATAGCAGATTGACACAATCTGAAGACAGAATATCAGCTAGAGAAGACAGAATGGTAGTCAGTGACAAATGAAAAGAGAGATCTCTTAAAGATAGTAAGGGACCATGAGAAATTAATTTATCAACTCCTAGATGACACAAAGAAGAATAACATAAGATTGATAGGAGTCCACAAAAAAGCAGGAGACAGCACAAACGACATAACAAAACTGTTCACATAATTAATGATAGTAAACTTCCCGAACAGAGCAAAATAACTTGACATACAGATAAGTAACTAGTGTGATAACTAGTTATGTTAAAAAAAATCTACACCTAGACATAAAATAGTCAAGATCCTGGAAACCCAATAGAAGTACAAAATACTAAAATCAGTTAGAGAAAAGAAGCAAATTACATGCAAAGGAAAGCCCATCAGAATCACAACAAACTTTTCAACAGAAACCCTCTGGTCAAGGAGAGCCTGGAGTGAGGTATTTCAAACTTTGAAAGAAAACAACCTCCAACCTAGTTTGATGTATCCTGTAAAGCTATTTTTCAAAATTGATGGCACAGTTGGTAATAGCTAAAATTTGGAAACAGCCCAATTGCCCATCACTAGAGACTGGATAAAGAAGATTTTTAAAAAAATAAAATGGAGTACTATTCAGCCATAAAGAATGAGAAACTAGAGATATTTATAGGTAAGTGGATGCACACTGAGGCCATGCTCAAGTAAAATTAATAAGTCACACATATAAATAACAAATAGTTTCTCTGGTGTGAAAAAGTAAAAGCATAAATTAGGATCAAAATGTATAATTGATATTGTATAATAGGAAGAAAAGATCTAATAGAGTAGAGAAAGTGGGAGGGTTAGGGGAAACAGAAAAAGGGAAAAGAAAAATTATGTGAAAAGGAAAAACATGGAAACATTGTGTTTGTAAACAGAGAAGGGTGGAGGGGGTGAAGGAAGGGCAGGGAATGGGGAAAAATAAGAACTAAGGTACATCATGTAAAGGTATATAATCCCAATGATGAATGTAACTGTATTGTATACCTAAAAAGTACCAAAAACTTAATAATGATTAAAAAAAAGAATTTATCAATTGATTTTGAAAAGGCAATTTAAAACACCTTGAGAAACATAAAGGAATACAGGATTTGAGAAACACCTTAGCAAGTAATTCATTCATTCCATTATTTGTTGAATTATTAAATTGCTCTCTACACACATCCATGCACAGGGGCACACACACACACACACACACACTCACTTCTTGACCTTTATTCCAAACACTGAGGTAGGAATGTGGAAATGACCCAAAGACAAAAAACTCCCTGGCTTAATAGAGCTTATATCCTGAAGGACAGAATCACAACAGTTATATAAGAGTTATGTGAAGATAAAAAAAAGGAAAACCTCCAAAATTATGTTAATTTCAGTTTTTATTACTCTGTAATAAATTATGGTATAGATACAGATTTGCTTCTGTACAATATTATTTTCACTTCAAATTTATTATTTTCTGATCATAAATCTGTTACAATAAAGATGATTTCAAGTTATTAGGCATTTGCTATAGAAAGTCATTGATAATTTATTTAAAAATTTCAATATTACACGTAAAATATACTGTTGAAATGATATATAAAATTTTAAAAATGACAAAAGAGAATGGAAAACAAATAGCAAAGGCTAAATACGAGGTCACTCAGGCTACTAGGGAGAAAAACTTCTACAGGCAGTGACCATCCTGAGGAGAGGAGCACAGGTGACCCCACCATCCAAGGCAACAGTGCTGTGTGTGCCAGAACCCCAGCAAGTGAGCTGAAGTTGAGGGCCTCAGTCACAATTCTGAAGCTGCTGGGCTGTGGCTGTGAGGCTGAGGCAGGAACACTGTGAATGCCATCCTGGCCTGGGTAATGTGTCAACTTGGTGAGATCCTGTCTCAAAATAAAAATAGAAAGGAGCTGGATGTGTAGTTCAGTGAGAAGGTCCTGGGTTCAACTCCCAGAGTTACAGAAAATAAAATTATGGAAAACATCGCAGTTGGAAAGAGAAGGCGGCTGATTGGCTTGAGGAGGATTTTACAAGCAGACAAGGAAAGAAGCCAGGAGGAGGTGGGAAGAAGAGGGTGGTGCAGCTCGTGGAGGCCAACAGGGGCTTCGGGAAGGAGGGAGAGCAGGAAAGGCAGCTGCTGGAGCTGGTGTGGGCAGCCGGGGTGGCTCCAGGACACACTTCCTGTGAAGCTCTGGCTGCAGACACCCGGGAGTGGGCTGGGTGCGGGTGGGTGTGGGGAGTGTAGACAACTGCACCCAGCTGCAGAGGTGCTGGGTGAGTTGTACCAGGGAGCAAGGATGCTGGAAGGGGCAGGACAGGCACTCATAATGGAAAAGGATAATGGTGGTTGTTTTCTTTTAGTAGTGGGGTTTTAACTCTTGGCCTTTGCTCCCCTAACCTGTGTT